TGGAAATTCACAAGCTTTTTTGGTGAGCCGAACCCCTTTGACCTAAAATATTTACTTGACATTTTTATGATACAGTTTCATTACAGTTTTTTCACGAACCCCAGTTCGTGAAACCCAGGGGTGTGAAGTAACGAATTACAAATACTCACGTTACAGTAATTTTTTCAGTTTTTCTTTTTTAATAAATTTGCAAAAATGTCAACAATTCTGTGTTTTTCTGTCAATATGGGGTGCTGTGTGTACATTAATGAGGAAAAAAAATTAACTTAAATGATTTTAGCAAATGGCTGCAATATAACAAAGAGTGAAAAATTTAAGGGGGTCTGAATACTTTCCGTACCCACTGTATGTAATGCAGTGTAATTTTCTTCTGTAATTTGTAATCAGTAACAGACTACAATTTGTAATCGGATTCCAAAAATGAAGTACTTGTAATTAGATTTATATTACATTTAAAAATGCAGATTAGAGTTACTTTTTTATGGATTACATGATTACATATTATTCACAAAATGAGTAAATTATTCAGAATTGATTGATTTACACCAGATCTTTTTTTTTCTTATATTGTTTTCTTTCAAATAACCTAACACAGACTAATAATTATGCAAGTCATTAAACACTGCCAATGCATAGCTGTGAAAAATGTATACTGATAACAGGTAATGCATGTCATGATAACAAAGAATAATATTTTCTTTCTCTGTTTTTTTTTAATTATTATTATGGTACACAATAAGTCCATCCATATGTGATCGATGAGTAATCTAAAAAGTAATCTGCAAGTAATCAAAAAGCAGTCAGACTACCTAATATGTGTAATCCAAATTACATTACTAACTAAAATGTTCGTCATGTAATTTGTAATCAGTAACAGACTACAATTTGTTAGTAATCTACCCAGCACTGTGTTAGCATGCATGCTTTTATGAGATTTACAAAAGTGGCTGTAGATGTTTTCTCCTTAAAGAAGAGTTCATTTCTTTTGACTTTCAGTTTGCTGGGGTTTTCCCCCTGCACTCAGCTGGACTCTCATAAACTATTATGGATCACTATGAGGTGCCATAACTGAACCCAAGAGCCCAAAACGATTGACCCAGATTGGCTCTACTGAAGCGAACAGGTTCACACAAACCATTTGGAGACAAATGAAAGGCAATTGCAATGGGAACTAGATACACTTTGGGGGAAATCTGGAAAAAGATACTTTCCTGTTAGTTTAGAAATGTCTTTGACTTCATGTGATTTACCCTACTTTATTTGTTAATATTTTTTAGTGGAAGCAAGCTCCGTTGGTCAGAATTAAGGGGCGTTTGTACGGACTGCGAATTGCAACAACCAAAAGTCAATTTTCAATGAGTTTCCAGCTGAATAGCAACTGTTAGCAAGTCGACAAGTTATACACAATTCAACTTCATGCAAATGAGCAATAACACCAACAGCACCGAGACCTCCAGCGATTTAATCGATGTCAGTGTGAATGCACCTTTACTCCTAACATCTGTTTTAGTACAGGATGTAGAACAAACATATTGAGTCCAGGGTTACTGAGATGGGCCACAGTAATTGTTTGCCAATATTCTGAGTAAATGAAATGGTTGTGGATTATGCCATGCACATTAATTTCCATAATTAACAGTGCTGTTTGTTCAACATTATTTGGTGTTGTAAAAAGCATTGTATTAAGGAAGAGGTAGAAATTTGGGTGATTTGTTTTTAGTTCTTCATCTACTGTACACAACATATTTAAGTTTACTATAGAATACATACTGTATGTGAAAGAAAAAACTTAAAAACTGTGTGTTCATGTGTATAGTAATGGCAAAACAAAGGCTGTTTTAACCCAACACAATCTCATGGCAATTTGTAACTATTTTACATTTTGGTGAATTGGTGGCTAAAGGCTTATTCATAGCAAGAACGATAACTATAACGATAACTATATTAGCATCCACACCAACGCATGATTATAACGCAGGTTTATTATGTTGTCAGCCCATTTAAATGTCCAAGCTCTTTAAAGCAGGATGGATTCTGATTGGCTGTCAGTGTTTTTATTCCTTTCAATTTAGAATGATTTTTTAGAACTGCATGATGTTTTTATATTTTTAAAACTACTACTTGCGGTGAATGGGACTCAATTTGTCTGTGACATTATGATTGGGATGGACCTTCATGCTTGCTTTTTTTTCTAAAAATTGTGCTTTTATTTTCAATTTAATTCAAAATCACAACCTTGCGGAATATTTGCATTTTACTGTGAAATCGGGTGTGTTTTACCATGCTTTAACCATCTGATGCATGATATTCATTTGACATTTTCAACCATTCTGGGTGGGATTCCCTTCTTGTCTATGGGTCACCCTTGATATTTATTTGACATTAAATTATAATATAATAATATATAATGTATACTTTTTAAATAATACAGTATAAAAGATGTAGAATTTTAAATTAATAATTTATATTTTTATGGCATCATATTCAAAATGTTCATGACAATGGTGATAGTAACAGGTCATATTTTATTTCTTTGATTTAATAATTCATACATTTTGCCAAAAAAAGTTGGATTGTTATATTCTTATGAAGTAAAAATATTTATATATATTTTTTTTATTGATTTATTTTTTATTATTTAGCCATTCATACGTTTTGCCAAAAATTAATTGTTATTATTAACAGGAACGTTTTCTTTCCTTTGTGATTTAATCATTCATGCATGGGGTTAGGGTTAATCATAATTAGAAGTCACGAAACGGCTTAAAACGGCACGTAAACATTACTGCTCACTTTCATGATTAATATCTCTAGTGTTGCACAAGCCAGCGCGGCTGCGGAGCATCCTGGCAATTATGCAAGGTATCATATTGCCTCAGAGCGATTGTCTGCCATCGGCTGATTAAAATGGCAGATTTTCAGTCATTCCTTAACAAGGATTTCATCATGATGTAATAGTTCTCTGCGAGCGAGAGAAAGCAATTTAATAAACACTTCATGTGAATTTGCCGCGTTCCAGCACAGTCGCGAGGTCGGCGGGCAGCACCGGCTGCAAAAGACACTACAGGCTATTTTACAGGCTTAACTCTTTTTAATCTTCATCTAATGCATTTATTCGCCCCCCCACCCCGACGTTTTTTTATTATTATTCTAGCCCATGTAAACGTTAGCTTTTAATCCTTGTCTAAACAAGAGCCAGACTCACCGGCTTCCAGCTCAATCCTCTACCGAGCTAAACTGTAATCAAACCGCTACAGATCATCACAATGAAAGCACGGCGGACGGAAGAGTGCCACCATTACGCAATGCTCTTAGGTCACTAAAAACAAACTCCTAAACCTTTAGCTCATGTTGAATAACATAGTGCAAATTCAGTCACGACAAAGATTATGGAATATAGTGCAGCTATAACTGTTATTCTAAAACATTAAAGGTGCTTTCGGTAATTTGGCTGTCTTGTAGGTCATTATGACAGCTGTCTTGGACTGAACACGCAAGGTTACCGATGTTTTTTTTACGGATGGCTTTGAAAAAATATGTTGTGCACAGTCAGCCACGGATGGCTTTGAAAAAATATGTTGTGCACAGTCAGCCACGGATGGCTTTGAAAAAATATGTTGTGCACAGTCAGCCACGGATGGCTTTGAAAAAATATGTTGTGCACAGTCAGCCACGGATGGCTTTGAAAAAATATGTTGTGCACAGTCAGCCACGGATGGCTTTGAAAAAATATGTTGTGCACAGTCAGCCATGATTAATTTGTTCCCTGAGCACAAGTATCCAATAATTGAAGCTGAATTCATCTGGTCATGTGATCTCAAGAGAAGTAAAAAGATTTATTTATTTATTTAGTTATTTATTTATTCAAATATGCCAGAAATAACTTGTTTATTTACTTTATCTGTGTATTTATGAATTATGTATTCACTTATTTATTTACTTATTTAGCCTACTTTCTATTTAAATAATTATAGGTTTATTTATTTACTTAAAATAAAAATGTATTAATTAATTATACTTACTTTTCAAGTACTTTCTTTAAGTAAACATTTATGTATTTACTTTTTTATTTACTTATATATTTGTACTTATTTAAATACATAAGAAATTTTCTTATTTATGATATGTATTCACTTATTTACTTTTTATTTAAATTATTATTTGTTATTGTTTTACTTATTTAAAATGTAATAAAAACAAGTAAATAAATATTTATTTATTAATTATTCTTACTATTCAAGTACTTTAAGTAAACATTTATTTATTTAACTATTTATTCAAATATGCCAGAAATAACTTGTTTATTTACTTTATCTGTGTATTTATGAATTATGTATTCACTTATTTATTTACTTATTGTCTTTCTATTTAAATAATTATAAGTTTATTTACTTAAAAATAAAAATGTATTAATTGATTAATTATACTTACTTTTCAAGTACTTTCTTTAAGTAAACATTTATGTATTTACTTTTTTATTTACTTTATTTAAATTATTATTTGTTTTTTTTACTTATGTAAAATAAAATGTAAAGAAAACAATTAAATAAGTATTTATTTAAAATAAAATGTAATGAAAACAAGTAAATAAATATTTATTAATTAACTTTACTTTAAGTATTTTAAGTAAACGTTTATGTATTTATTTATTTGAAAGTTTTTACTTACTGCTTACTTGCTTGAATAAAAAGTTAATATTGATTTATTTATTTAAAATAAAATTGTAATAAAAATAAGTAAATAAGTACTTATTAATGAATCCTTTTTTCTTATCCTTTCGTTCCAAGTCATTTATTTGTTTATTTATTTGAATAAGTATTTTATTTATTTATTTACTTATTTATCTACTTGAATAAAAAAGTTTATATTTATTTATTTTTAAAAAGTCTAATAAAATAAGTAAACAATTGATTATTAATTAATTTTCCTTTTTTTTTTGTACTTTCAGAGCTGCACGTTGTCTTGGGCGTGCACCTTTATTTGGGAAAAAAAGAGAAAAAAACAGCAGTGTTGCAGATGTTGGCATGTCATTGAGGTTGGCTTGGCACAGACCTGGAAACCCTGAACATGTATTTAATAGTGCAGTTTAGGTCACACTGAACAAGCAGTTCCTTTAGCTTTGTACTGATGCCAGCTAAATCCAGACAGATGCTGCAGCTGAAGTCCTTAACACGCAACACAGCTCATTACTGACTCACCATTTAATTCAAACCTACAGCTCTTTAATTGCTTTAATTATTATGTGCAAGCATCTAATTATTATTTAATTTGTAGTGTTCATCCTTTGTCTTTTTCATTACATTTAAATTTCAAAAGAAGAAACTGAATTTAGCAGAGAAGGACTCGTTCCTGCTGTTCAGTTGTGATCTGATACAGTTCTGCTTCACGCTGGCTTCTAAACGGACACTTGCTGATTTTGTTCAGCATGCAGTTGTCAGTGCTGTCAGCAAGAATTGTGCAAGAAATTTATTTTCTGGAGGTCACATTGTAAAATAGAAAAAAAAAAATCACATTTGACTTCTAATTTGTTAAACTATTTTATGCAAATTATATTTAATTATATATATATAATTTTATGCAAATTATATTTTATTTAAATAAAATATAGATTTTCAGTATGCTCTCAGACCCCATTTTATTTGGTGCTTTGGATTCTCATTGGTTTGAGATATTTAAAATATTTTGAATGTCTTTGTTTAAATTTCAAAGGCATCTTGCGGACAATAAACTGAAAGGCCCTTATGTGAGTGTATAAAGCTTTAAATTTGACTCATGATTTTTGAGATTAGGTCCCTGGGGATTGACTTGCGGTCTTGAGCAGATGTGTAATCCTCTGTATAGCTCAGACACAGGAGGGAAATTAATAATCATCATCATGATATTTCACGAAAAATAAAACCGCCAGCTGTGGGGAAGCGCTGTTAGGAAGCAACCAAATTATAGGATCACCGATGTGGTCAAAGAAACCAAAACAAACCCCATGAAGCCCATGTGCTTATAAAGCTATAATCTCAGGGCACTTAAAACTCTGGATTATCCACTGTTATTCAGCTGGCTTTCAATGTCAAAAAATTTAACATTCGAAATTGAATGGATGGCAATAGAGCTAAGTGCACATTCCGAACTTTAATTTGAGGGTATTCTCATCAAAATTGGAGGAAAGGTTAAGGAATTACATCTCTTTAATATATACCTCCCCCCGAGTTGATTCTAAGTGTGCAATTTGCATTTGGAAGCTGTTGCTGTGAACCAACATCATGCAGTCAAAGGAGCTCTCCATACAAGTGAAACAGACAATTGTTAGGCTT